TATTCTTATTCTTATTCTTATTCTTATTCTTATTCTTATTCTTATTCTTATTCTTATTCTTATTCTTATTCTTATTCTTATTCTTATTCTCATTCTTAATCTTAATCTTATTCTTATTCTTATTCTTATTTCTACTTGTTATAGGAAGTACAGTTCCAACTCTTCTACTTCTGGAAGGACCTAATACAGGTAAAAGCAAAGACTTCATGCATTTGCACAAATTCGGCACATTTTGTCGGTGAACCAAAGATAGTAACAAATGTCGTCTTCTCTAATAATCTAGTACTTTTTACGCTGCTGACGTTTCATATTGTCTTCTTTTGTTTTGAATTTAAGAGTTATTTAAAAACAAAACAAGAAAACTACTTAAGTTTTCTATCTTTAAATTTGTCCATAGTCCATAAAAGTAGCTAGTGGATTTTACGCAATAAAGACTATGAACATAATTGACAGAATTCATCATTTTTTAAAGTTGAAATAACGACGATATTTCTCATTGTTCCCCAGATAAATGTCTAAATGGTACCGTTGTTGATAAGACCTTTAATGGGTTGGTAACTTAAAATTACAACTATCAGTCCCTTAGAACATTTACTTTTGGTTTGAAGTATATGAAGTGTTTATAAAAGAAGAAAATTCATTTATCATATCTTTTATGCAATTAACTTTGTACTTTAACAGTAATCAATTATCTCATTTCTTTTTCCTTGAAGATTGAATTCTCTCTCTATCTAATTTAAATGAATTATTGAATTAAAAGCTAACAATTATTGGATATTTTTGATACAAAAGGGATGTATAACTCTATCACAAATTCAGCTAAAATGATTAAATAAATTAAAAATACGAATTAATATCATTAATTTAGTTAATTTTTAGCACAAAACATTCACGATTTTGTTTAAAATCTAATGTTTAAAAGTCGATCGTTAGACTCCCAAACAACCATAATAACCAATGACGTTAAAATACAGCTGTAAAGGCGTACACTATAAATTTCAGATAAATTTCTAATGCCTCGTCTAACGTCTTTATAATTAGCAAAGTCTTTGGGTAAAAGCAACATTATTTAACTATTTTGTTTTTGGACAAAATGTCTTCTAATGTTCTTATAAGAATCTTAAAAATAATTTTTTTCGTTTTAAAAAATGTAATTTAGAAAATTCTGTTATAAACCATCTTCAAAGGGAGTGTAAGATTAATTAAAAGTGATCCTACATATAAAAATCTTTTAAAAAAATTGTCTTTTTAAAATGGAATTTAGAAAAAAATTTTAAAGAAGTGTAATTGTAATAATAAGTGACTCTTCATATAAAGATAGCAATGTCTGATTTAATAATGTGAAAGATAACGACGTTTTCCTGACTCTTAAAATGTTTTTTTTTCTGTCAATTTCTCCATCGTTCAAGGGTACTGTTGTGAATCCGGTATTGCTATTTTTTGCATGGAGGGTCACATGAAATTACGCTTACAGTCCCTTTAACTGGTTTATAGTACCAAATCTCATCACGTGAATAAAATGTCCTTCATTAATATTATTAAAGGGGCGTAACAAAGATGTATCAAATTAATTTGATTAAATATCATGAACAATCTCTTTAAGCTGTAATGAGTTAATATTTGATTAGACTCTGGGAAGACGACCCGTCCGGCTGCATTCGATGGAATTTCCGAATTTCCAACTGATAATTCAATTCTTCACCACGAGATGGCAGAGTTGAGGGTTATCAAGACAAAGATGGAGCTCGAGGTAGGCCTTGATTGATTGAGTGAGTGATTGCATTTTGATTGATTGGTTGATTGAATACATGGTAAGGAGGATCTTACAGAAACTGTAGATGTAATTTTGAGTGACCCTCAATTTAAAATTATATATCCGTTGCACAATGGTACCCTCTGTAAACTGTGTTTGATAATGGATGAACGAGAAATTTTTATATTTCTGGCTGGTAATTGATCAGTTTCAATTAAATTTTTTGTTGCACAGATGAAGGTTTAAAGAGCACTGTTGTGAATCGGTTAGCCGTGTATGTAGTCTCTTCAAATCATATTTGCTACAGTGAAACCCTTAATAACGAATACATCGAAAGAATTCATCAAATGTCGTATTCTTCACTTTCTGATAATGGAATGTTGCAGATATTTAGTTTTTAAATTAAATGATTATATGGAACTCTTTAAAACTATTCCTGCATATTCATGGCTATTTACTTATTTTCGCAAATACTGAAATTTACGTAATATAGTATAAAACTCATTGAAAAATTGTCAAGACGACATTTGATAAATTCTTCCGATGTATTTGTTATGAAGGGTTTCACTGTATACGTCAAATTTCAAATTTCAAATGAAAAGTTTTACGCTCAGGTAGAAATGTGTCCCTGCCCATGCTTATGTTCGAAACCTGACAGTGTCAGTATTGGGCCAATTTACGGTTTGGAACTTTCTCCCCCTGTAATACATGATAAAATTGTTTTAAGGGAAGGTGGCGTCGGTCACGATTCACACTAGACTTGTGTCATTAATCGGATATTACATTAATTTCCGTCCTTTGGTGGTTATTTTTGATGGAGTCTCGGCCTTGATTTCCACGGAATCGTTGAATCGTTTATTTATTTATTTAAGGGTATGCGTTACGCCAGCAAGATATCCAGTGAAGCTCATATGCATGTGATGAGGTAACAAAAAAAATTTAAAGTTTTTGTGAAAGAATAAGCCCCCCCCCCCATTCATCATTTATTATCTCAATAGATGTAATTCACAATAATTTTCCCCTACCAGTACCCAGCTATTCACCCGTTCATCTTGAATAGGAGGGGGGATTATATTTTTATATCCCTGGTTTATATTTAGAACGATTAAGCCTGGGATGATGGAATATCAAGCTGAGGCAACCTTCCTCCATCATACTTACTTCTACGGCGGAGCCAGGTTAACATAGAAGGAGGGAAACCAGCCACTTCAGTTTTTGTTTGAGCCACATCAAAATTTCATCTGAGCCTCATCAATTTTTCCTCCGAGCCCCCATTTTTTCTCCAAGCCGCAATTTTTAATATTTTGTCTTCAAAGCCACCCATAATCGAGGAGACTGTGGTAAAAAGAATAATACAAGCTTTACATACATTACTTCTATCTCTTGTAATTTAAGTTTTTTAATAAATATTTTAGATATGTAAATATGGTATGAAAATAAACGACACTTTTTTAAACTTTCAAATATCAATCTTATTTCGAATTTTAAACAGAATTTAATAGAAGATTTTTATCATCTGAACAAATGTTTTAATTCTAACACATGTTATGTTTGCAAAAGAATCGAAGAAACCAAAGACGATTTTACAAAGAAAAGATTAAAAAGATATAATCAAACATTAAGGATGACAAAAATCGGCGTAAAAATATGCTTGAAAATGCCCGTTTTGCGTCGAACCAATTTTCTTTTTCACAATCCATAAAGCCTATTTTATTTTTTATCATTAAAAATATAACTATCATTTTTATTTCTAAAAGTTGTTAGTTCATCGTCGAAAAATACTAAGAATTAACCACCAGTTTATATAAAAAAAAGTTTACAATAAACAATACTTATGTAACTATCATTTTCCTTTCCTTCGATTTTTATTTCTTAAATTTTAGAATTGGGGTGAAATATTCCCGCAACCTCTATTTTTTGAGGGTTTAAAATATTTTCTCCTTAAACACTTGTTTTTGTTATATTTCATAATTAAATAATTACTTACTTACTATTCATATTTTAGAAACACGTATTAATATTTTAGACACGTGTGTTACACGTGTATTGCTGGTGGTGGTGGAAGTGGAGCTGTTCTACACTACGGACATGCTGGAGCACCTAACAATCAGCTCATCAAGTAGGAGATCATTTCATTCATTCATTCATTCATTCATTCATTCATTCATTTATACATCCTTTCAGTTATTCAGTCATTCATTCATCCTTTCATTCATTTATTCATTCATTTGTTTATTCATTTATTTATTCATATTCATTTATTCATTTATTCACTTGTCTGTTTATTCATTTGTTCATTTGTCCGTTTTTTCATTTGTCCGTTTTCCATTTGTTCATTTGTTCATTGGTTCATTTGTTCATTGGTTCATTTAATCATTGGTTCATTGGTTCAGTTGTTCAGTTGTTCAGTTGTTGAATTGACTTTTGTTCATTTGTTTATTTTTCATTAATTCATTAACTTCGTTTAATATATTATTAAAATATCAAGAAATTTGGAAATTCGTCAAAAAACAGTTTTGGCATCAACACTTTTAACACTGGTTATTTATTTGTGTAGGGATGGAGATATGGTTCTTTTTGATTTTGGAGCAGAATATTATTGCTTCTGTTCAGATATTACCTGCAGCTGGCCAGCAAATGGTAAAAAATCATCTTAAAGAGATTGTTGACCAAATTTCAAGTGACCCATTCATTTAAAGAGTACGCAAAGCAACTTTACAGAGAAAACACAATTTTAAGAAACAATTTAGTAGTTAGATAAATAAGGATATCTCATTCCTATTTATTAGGTACCTTTGTTAATCGAAAGACCATTTGAAACAACTGTGTTCAGTGTTCAATCCCATTCAGATATTTTTTCCTTAAATAGAAATTCATCTAAATCTTCTAATGATTTTAATGGAAGACATTTTTATCTTTGAATTGTGCAAATGTTTTTTATTGTTTGATAATCATAAAAGAAGTTTATTGGTGTTGTTTTTAATTGTTAACTTAATTGATATCTTAGTTAGTTAGTTAGTTAGTTAGTTAGTTAGTTAGTTAGTTAGTTAGTTAGTTAGTTAGTTAGTTAGTNCAGATCGACAGATCGACAGATCGACAGATCGACAGAAAGACAGATGGGCAAAAATACTGACATATAGACGGACAGACAGATTAATGAAAAATAAAACTATGAAAAAATTTAAAGGGATGTTCTGGCTACACTAAAGCCTGGTGTCTCCTGGAGAGATCTACATTTGCTTGCCAATAGGGTCATCTTAGAGGACCTCACTGCTGCTGGGGTACTAACAGGTACATTTGTTTATTATTAGGGTCATCTTAGATTACCTTTTACTGCTATAATTGTTATTTTAAAAGTTGCCAATTTAGTTTTCATTAACTTTAATTTCAGGAAGTGTTGATGCAATGATGTCCGTCAATTTGGCCGGCCGTCTGTTCCAACCTCACGGTCTAGGACACTTCATAGGCATAGACGTTCATGATGTCGGCGGGTAATTTTGATAAATTTTCATGGATCTGGATATTTTAAAGATTTATATCAAACTTTAGATAATTAACTTTGTGATTTCTATATTTGCAAGGATTGATTTTTTTTTCGAAAGTCATAAGATTGTAAAAACAAAACAGCTTATACAATTCGATTTCTTATATAATGTACTTCCATGGTACACATCTTTTATTTTGCACACAAACCTCTCTTAATTTTCAATATAAATATTGGCAACCTTTTTGTTTAAGTCAGGATCACTTTTTGATGCTTTTGATCCACCCACTGACCATAGTCTTCCAAAAGTTGGAGCAGTCCTAGATATCTTGAGGGACATCCTGAGCGAGATACAAGACCAGGACTTAGGAGTTTAAGGACTGCTCGAGAAATACAGGTTTAAAGGGACTATACACGAAATTTCACGTGACCCTCCAATTAAAGAGCGGCATTTCAGAAAACCTCCTTACATCCTAAATTTAAGATATTTTTTTCACCCTACCNTTGAAACGTGGTGAATCCTTATGTATTTTATTCCTTGTCTCTTCAGAATAAATCCGCAAGTCACTTTTGTGGATTACACCCAATTTCATAAAGAAAAATAAGGATAGTAAGCAAAAGTTTAATTGGTTTGGTACCGTTGTGAATCGGGCATTTAACTAAGTGGGGTGAATTTACGCCTACAGTAATTTTATGAATGATTTAACAGTTAAATAGACAAACAAGTGAAATATATATTTGAAAATTTGCTGTACAGGCTAACATGGTGCTAACTATAGAGCCCGGGTGCTATTTCATCGATTTCCTGATTGACAGGGCGCTAGCAGATCCAGAACTTAGCAGGTAAATTAGAATATCATTAATGGAAATAATAATTTTAATAAAAATAATAATCTTATTCTTATTCTTGTTTTTATTGATCTGGTTCTTAATCTTGTTCTAACATTGCAAGTTTCCATTTTTTGCTTGATTAAATCTACAAAACACTAACTATAGAATATCTATGAACAAACTATTTGGCGCCAACTAAACTGTACACTCTGAAAGGTTCCTTGTGGCTGACCTGTTAAATGAGTACCGCGGCTCTGGCGGTGTGAGGATCGAAGACGACGTGATTGTTCATGAAAATGGCGCTGAACTCATGAGTGTAGTGCCCAGGTAAAAATATCATTAGTTCTGATGTAAGAAATTCTGTGTCTATACATTCTTTGGAATGTATAATCTATCCAAAGAACTTTGATTGAATGTGGTGTTCTTTTTTGTAATTCACATTCTTTGGTTTTAATCGTTAAAATATACAAAAATATTTTTGCCATTTAATGAATACATTTTGTCCAGGACCGTTGAAGAGATTGAGTCCTGGATGTCTGGAGATGACGCATTTTTGAAAAATATCAAATAATGGAATAATATCAATATTATCAATTAATTAATTAATCATTTATTTAATTAATTAATTATTATACATATATAAATACATAATCATACCAATGTGTACTGTACACCATGTGTATTGTGTACACATTTAACATATTATTTTTGTACAACTTTAATATTTTGGGAATAACAAAAATGTGAATGTGATATTTAATCGGTAAAATTTGAAATACATTAATTTTAAGCAATTCATTTTTACAGGTTTATATTTTTTCAAGAGCTTTACACGGCCTGTAGTGTTGTTGGATCGTTATTTTTGTAAAAAACCTTAAAAAAAACTTCCAAAATTTTAAATCTGTATTATGTTAATTTTTGCTCTTTCTAAACCTTGCATCTTGTCCTAAAAAATAAATCCAAAAATGATCGTTACAACACGCTCTCAAATTTCGACTTTGGAAGAAAATGAAGGCAAATAAATAACCAACTGAAGGCACATCACTATCGGTCGGAGGGATTGATTCTCGATGCTCTGGGGAAAAAAAATAATAAAATCCTAAAGAAATAACGTTTGGGGAAAACTTTTATGGTCAATATAAGGGATGGGGGAAAATAACAAGAAAATTAATTCCCCCTGCATTTTTGATCTTCCTTTAGATTTAAGTCCTGTCATATCATGACTGTTATTAAGTTTATTATTAATTATGAATTTTATCAATTATGTAAGTGATCTTCTGGAAAGAAGTTATCAATAAGAGGTAACAATTAATCACGTGGCGTATTTAAAATCTGAACAAAATTAATAAATGTTATTTTTTAACCTGATCAATTTCAAAACATATATGTGCATCTTTATTAATTCAATCTAATGTGGGCCCTTTAAAATCTGAGGATTTGTAATTAAAGTTATCCAAGCTGTATAACACCTCAGGAATATCGAAAGAGAAATTAAATTATTTTTTATCGTCTGCACAAGATGGAAATCAATAAATAATCCTGAGATTTACAGCCAGAAGTTCCGACTCCCGGACATTTACAGAATATTTACAGGGTGTGCCACGAAACATGACATTTAATAAATAGCTTTTTTTAGTTAAATATATCTTTTGCTTCATTATATTTTACTTTGAAATCAATTTTGATATAATATGACTCCCATATAATATTTTTATTGAAAAAGACATTCTAAACCAACTGTCATGTTTAGTGGGACACCCTGTATCTTACAAAATCCTTGATCAGATCTGTGAAATTATGAAAGAAGATTCTAGGTCGTATGATTAGCACCGATATTGTCTGCTGAAAAACGGTAGATCGGATGATTAGTACGAATCTTGTCTGATGGAACCCGTAGGTCGGACGATTAGTACCAATCTTTTCAACAAGAAAATCGTAGGTCGGACGATTAGCACTAAGTTCTTCTGTTTAAAACCCCGTTTTTTTTTATTTTAAGGACGAGATCTTATCTGCTCAGTTCCCGTAGGTCGGATGATTAGCACCAATCTTGTCTGCTGGAAAACCGGTTCTGAGTGTACATTTCATGATTTTGTTTGGTGGATAGGGCAGCAAACCGGGTTTTGTTTACATTTAACAAATTTGTAAATAGTTAGATAAATGTTTAGATGATAATTTCGGATCTAAGGATTTACATGGAATTAAACGTAAATCAATTAGCCAAAAGATAATTTCGTTGTTAAATCGTAAACTTTTTGAATAAATTGTGAAAATTTTAAAACACATCTTACTTATTTACTTATTTACTTACATACCTTCCATTCTTTCCTCCCAACCTACCTACCTATACCTTCCATTCTTCCCTCCCAACCATACCTACCTACTTTCCATTCCTCCCTCCCAACCATACCTACCTACTCGCCTACCTACCTATACCTTCCATTCTTCCCTCCCAACCATACCTACCTACTCGCCTACCTACCTACTTTCCATTCATCCCACCCAACCTACCTACATATTTTTCTCCCTGCCTACATATCTTACTACCTTCTATACCTACCGATCTACCTACTACCTAACATATCTACCTACCTTCCTTTACAAATATGTGTGACTGCCTACATTCCTCCCACCCAACCTACCTATCTTTTTTCTCCCTGCCTACATATCTTACTACCTACTATACCTATCGATCTACCTATTACCTACTTACCTACGTACATATCTACCTACCATCCTACACCAATATGCGTGCCTGCCTATATACCTACCTACCTACGTACCTACCTAGGATGAAGACTGTCAACCTGGATGTTTCTGTGATGAAAAAAAAGGCGAAGAAAATAAGGTATAACTAAGAATTCTCTTATGTTCTTTTATCATATTATTCCATTAAATCAGATATTTTTCATCCACGTTAAACTAAATTAAGATTGAAATCTTAAAGTTTTCATTCGTAACTCCTCTTATGCGAGAGCTATTGCGAAGAAGAACAATATTTAGAATTTTAAATATTTTTAAGCTTTGTATATCAGACATGTCACTCTATAAATGTAGGTTTACTTGCAAACACGTTTAATTTTCCTAGGTTGGACTCCTCATAGGTAGATATTCATAGGTGGATATTCATACATCCATATTCAAAGGTAGATATCCATATATCCATATTCATAGGTAGATATACATACATCCATGTTCAAAGGTAGATATCCATACATCCATATTTATAGGTAGATATCCATACATCCATATTTATAGGTAGATATCCATACATTCATATTCATAGGTAGATATTCATACATCCATATTCATAATCAAAATCAAAAGATCGTCCTTGTAGTTTTCTAACTGTAGAAGAGGAGGCTGCAACTAGAAAGTTTCTTGAAAACGTAAACAAATGGAGGATAGCAAACAGCATGGTGGAGGTTAGAAATATTGTCAGTGCTTAGGATCCTTTTCGTTTAGATACGGGTCAGGATTAAGACTTACTGATTTTTTTTAATAGAAGAAGAATTTTCAAATTATTTTTCTTCTTTTTTTACTAAAACTTGATGATCCATTTAGAGATAAGAAAGTTTTTAATAATCTCTTATTGTATAACAGTTCAGATTTGTGTTTGGTGAGTTTTTTCTGCTTTTGATGGTTTGTTTTACCCCTTGGATCCGGACCCGGATCCAAGAAATTGTTGCGGATAAAAGGATCCGGATCCTAAACATGCATTTATTTGTATTTCAACCGATTTCAGAACTTTTTACAGTTTCTCATATATCTGGAACTTTTTACATTTTCTCATATATCTGCTAAGCAATTTTTGTTTTGGTTGACATTTAGATTTTCTAAAAGAAAATTTGTCATATACAAGACGTTTTTAACGAAAATCACTATAATGAACGAACAAAATTCGTTAATTTTCGTTCAAATATTTTCGACCTCATTTTCGCGAAATTTACGTTTAATTTTCGTTTGTAAAAATCGAAATTTTTCAATTTCGCACCAAGAAAATTGAATTTTTTCCGAAAAAATAGGATTTTGAGCGAAAGGTCGAAAATTTTAACGAATTTCGCGAAAATTTGAACGAATGTCGCGAAAATTTTCGTTTTCGTTCACATTTTCGTTGGCTGAAATAGATTTTCGTTAATAGTTTAACGAAAATTTCGAAACCCTAATCTTAATAAGGTATGAACCAGTCCTGACTCTTGGGGCCATGTTAGGTTCCACTCAAAAGTTGCCACTAGCCGGTTCAGCAGTTTCAATGTTTATTAGGGACAACATGATGAGCAAATAAAACAAATATATTTTAGATGTACATACCTCCATATTCATAGGTAGATATTCATACATCCATATTCATAGGTAAATATTCATACATCCATATTCATAGGTAGATATCCATACATTCATATTCATAGGTAGATATTCATACCTCCATATTCATAGGTGGATATTCATACATCCATATTCAAAGGTAGATATCCATATTCATAGGTAGATATACATACATCCATGTTCATAGATAGATATCCATACATCCATATTTATAGGTAGATATCCATACATTCATATTCATAGGTAGATATTCATACATCCATATTTATAGGTAGATATCCTTACATTCATATTCATAGGTAGATATACATACATCCATGTTCATAGGTAAATATTCATACATCCATATTCATAGGTAGATATCCATATTCATAGGTAGATATACATACATCCATGTTCATAGGTAGGTATCCATACATCCATATTCAAAGGTAGATATCCATATATCCATATTCATAGGTAGATATACATACATCCATGTTCATAGGTAGATATCCATACATCCATATTTATAGGTAGATATCCATACATTCATATTCATAGGTAGATATCCATATATCCATATTCATAGGCAGATATTCATACATCCATATTCATAGGTAGATATCCATACATCCACATCATATCATATTCATAGTTAAAGGTAGATATTCAAAATTTTGAATCTGCGTTCAGTGGTTCCCAAAAAGCTGTAAATGAAGACGATTTATAATTTTATTTTGTAGGACTGAAGAGATTAACTCGACTGAAGTTGAATGATAATAGAATTCAAACTATTGAACCTGGAGCCTTTAATCCGCTTACCAGGTGATTAAATGTCATTTTTTTAAGAGGTCAGAATTTATGATGAGTTTGTTGAATTAGTTACAGCTGGTTAGTGGTTTGCTCTTATATCAACGCAATGAAGACGGCGTTTACAAGTAAACAAAGAAAACCTATTATTGACGGTTTTCTTTGTTTCCATGTTTATGTGTATCCGCGCTGTTTGAAAAACTTGGTAGAAATCAACGAAGACGACTGTACTTCTCTTTTGACACCGAGATTCAGAGAGGCGGTTAAATTTCAAGTATTTAACCAGCCATTCGTAGTGTTACTAAGTTTCAAAATTATAAATTTTAATTTGTCTAATTTTTATTTAATATTTCAGTATCACCAAGATTGATCTGATGAACAATCCATTTGACTGCGACTGTAGGACCGTAAATATTCTTGTTTGTTTGTTTTCAAGGGACTGTACACTTACAGTGTACACAGACCTAAATTCAAGTGACTTTCCATTTATAGAGTGGCAACGGGGCCCTTTAAATATGCCTGAATTTTCTACCATCCTCTTTATGTAGTGGGTGTTCAAGCTACAGGGTGTCCCAAAAAACATGTGAATTCAGTGACGAATTCGATATCGTCTTTGTTATGAATAAGCATTGTATTGCCTAATTTCAAAAGCCATACTATTANATCCTAGTTCCTGGTTCCCATAAGTTCATGGGTTCTCCTAATCTTAGTTTACGGTTTCTTCTTGTCCTAGTTCCTGGTTCCCATAAGTTCATGGGTTCTCCTAATCCTAGTCCACGGTTTCTTCTAATTCTAGTTCCTGGTTCCCATAAGTTCATGGGTTCTCCTCTTTTCTTAATCTCCAGATTAAATATTGCTTGTTTTTCTCATGAATTTAATCTCCAGATTAATTAACAGGTCGGGATTAAGGATATCACATTCTAAAGTTTTCAGCTCAGGAGATTAAATTCATGAGGAAAACAAGCAATATTTAATCTGGAGATTAAGAAAAAGAGTGGATCAAGCAATAATCCCGATATCCACCATTCTAAAGTTCCCAGCTCTGAAAATTGAATACTGTTCTAAGATAAAAAATAAAATTAAAATCTGTTCAGTCGTCAGGATAATCCTATGTATGAACAAGAAGGGGAAATAAGCAACCCTTCTCCCCTTAAAGGGACTGTAAGCGTAATTTCAAATGACTCCCAATGATGACATTGTCCGATTTTCAACGGTACCATTGAAAGCATTGTCCGATCAAGTATGAATTATAAATCAATGTTTTTGTTCCTTTAATCTGTTAATACTTCATTTGCGGTTTCTCTGCGATAGTGACTTGTGCATTTCTTGTTTATAAGATCGAAGCAATGAAGAAACTCTCAGGAAAAAAACAATTTCCGTGTCAGAAAAACGACGGTATCTTTCACATTTTCGATCAGATTAAGGTTTCAAGGGTACTGTTGTAAAACAGACATTGTCATCTGTGCATGGAGGGTTAGACGTAAGTTCAGTAAACCATTATTTATAGAGTGATAAAATTTAAAATTCTGATAACATTCAGCTTTTTTCTATTGCATGTCACTTTTATGGAGAATAGTGAAAAAAATCAATTTTTTATCCTTGATCAGGAAAAGGTTTAAAGATCACGGTTGTGAACCGAACTTTCCTCTTGAAACAACGTCGACAGTCCCTTTAAGCACTCTAAAATGTCTAGATGGTATGTTCCGGATCTCGCGAGCAGAGCGAGGAAATGTCATCAACATCAAGAAGTATCAAACAGAATCTATTCTTCAACTCAAACCATCAGGAATATTGAAATAATAAAAAGATTTTTAAAAATGTTGAAAAAACTTGTCAGCTCCACAAACTTGCAGCATGATGTTTAAATATTTTTAGAAATTTCAAAGTGGCAAAATTCCAACCAAAACATCAAAAAAATATTTGTTGCTCAAACCACATATTATGAGTACTCCCTAATGGTTAAGTAGTAAATCATGTTTCTGCATAAAACAAAAGAAAAAATGTTGGGAAATTTTGTATTATGGAAAAAAAAACTTAAAATTCATTTATTATATCCGTTAATTTTTTTCCCAGACAGATCTACATCAATAGGAAATGGATTCTTAGCACTGGTTTTATGAAAAGTGGTTAAAACAACGCGTAAGCGTATTAATTCAAAATGCAAATGTCGCTTCTTAATTCTTTGAAGACCCTGTGTTAAGTTCTTTTTTTTAGGGGCGTACAGTTGAAAATGTGCTGCAGATCAAATGTACTGTACTGCCAGATTATCATGTACATTGTCTCAAAGCAAAGAGGAGGCAATCTTGTCCTGGTCTGTAAACGGGTAAGCATTCAACACAATTTAATTCTTTGCCAAGCTGATATTTCGGCCATCTTGTAACAAAAAGAAAATGTCTGCCGCCTGAAATGTCGGAATTTAAAAATGTTCTTCAAACTAAAAGTGTATCTTTTACACAACAATAAATTGCCCTCATTCAACAAAATTTAAATCTTAGCCAAGCTAAATAATTCAAAACTAAACTATTTATCAAATTATTGATTGATAATAAATATAGTTGATTTAAAGAATAATTTTTCAAATGAATTTTTAATTGGAGAAAATATATCGGATCGTTATTAATAGATAACTTCAATTTATGGATGGATAGATCAATCTAAACATTGGTTGATTAATTTATTGATTTATTGATTGATTGACCAGGAATGCTGTGTCTGGTCCTGAGGTCTTGGTAAGTCAGATCAATCCTGTTCTAGAGGAAGCAGGGGGTACACACTCCAGTATATATATCAGGTACTCCCCCCCCCTCCCCCTAATCCCGTTCTTCAAAGTTTTAAAGAAGAAGTACATATAATGCGAAATACGAAAATATAAATGTCTGATGTCTACTAGTCGTTATTAAATCTATATTTATATTTTGTGTTAATCCATCAATTGGACTCGCGGAAAAATCCCTCTTTGAAAATGAGTCTAGTTTTCTCAAAATTTAGTCTTTTTTGATGAATTTTCTAAATTTTTTTGCTAACATTTGTAATTTTTTTTTTTTGAAAATTCTGTATGTTTCGCGAAACTTTCGTTTTTTTGCACAATTTATATTTTATTCTCAAAATTTTCACATTCTTTTCGCGAAATTTTCGCTTTATTTTGCACAATTTTTTTCTCGAAATTTTCTCATTTTTTCGCGAAATTTTCGTATTATTTTTTCGTGAAATTTTCACATTTTCTATTTTTGCGAAAATTTTCGCGAGGGAACGAAGTGCAAAAATGAAGCAAAATGGTGGCGCTTAACGATTTTTCCTTTTCACTGGAAACCCTAATCAATATCAGGGTTGCCAACAAAGGATGAGAAGACCGGAAACACATAAAATGTGACGATCCCATGGTTAAATTATATATTCTACCTTAAATATGGTAATCTTAGACACAAGTCTCCTGCACAGTGCCGCTCTGGGACTTGTGCTACACACAGTGCACATAATGCCTTATTCAATGATTTGGCAAGGAAACAAACCAGTTCACAGTTGACGGAAAATATAAATATAAGGAAACAGACAGTGTAAATTCCGTTTAATCGTCTCTAAAGTCTCCTTTGTGGGTAACCTTGTAAATGATGAAAATTCTAAAGATTTTTCATCACCCAATTTTGAACAGGTCTGTTGGGATGGATTACGCGGGAAAATGGTCTTGCCGCGCTCTTCTTCAGTCAGGTATGTCTAGCTGTTCATAGAGATGAACATCGTTTTTTTGAACGAATGAAATTTTTGAAAACAAACGAAATTTTTCATGAAAAATGTGTCGTTCAGAAAAAAACGAAAAATGGACGATGGAAATTGATCGTTCAGAAAAATGAAAAAATTATCGTGTTTATAAAAACAAAAAAAAATCGATTTAAAATCGGTAGAACAAACTTAAAAAAACGATCGCTTTTTTAAAAAACGAACTAATTTTCCAAAAGATTTTGAAAAAAAATAATGTTTTTTTAATGAACTATTTTTAGTGACATTTTTTAAAACGAAAGTATTTAATGAATAAACGATTTTTTAACAAACTTTTAATAAAACGGTCGGGTTTTTAAAACAAATTTTGATAAAACAATCGGTTTTTTGAACAAATTTTGATAAAACAATCGGTTTTTTTGAACAAACGATTTTATTGAACGATAGATTTTACTGAACGATCGTTCATAGAAAAACGAACGAAATAGATGGAAAATGAACGATAATTTTGAGAACTAACAAAATAATTTTTTTGAACGATTGCGCAAAAAACAAGCGAAATGGGTCGTTCGCTAACGATGAACGAACGAAACGAAAAGTGTTGAACGTGTCATATCTAGCTGTGCATAGCCGGGCCGCAGTTCTTTTCGTAGATTTCTAACGCAACAAATAATTTTAAAAAAATTCGGGATTTGGTATAATCCAGTTATTCAAATGAAACTCTTAAAGTAAACTTCTTAAAAACTATATTTGTCGTATTTAATTTCTAATATAAATGTGAACTCAGGTTGTTATTCAAACATTTTAAATTAATGGTTGTTAATTAATCAATTAATAATTAATGCTTGATGAACGTAATCTTTTAACCTGTTTTTTTTAACCCCCCTGTTTAGGATATAGTGAAGAAAGATCCGTCCTGGTTCAAATTATGTCTCCAGGTATTAACACACAGTGAGAACCAGAAAACAGAACACATCGTTAAAGCAATACTTTTGTGTATTTGATGTCGTTACAAAAATAGTGTTACTATAAGTAACTCACATAACTTATTTCACATATTAAGTTAATTTGAGATGTAAGTCGTCTTCATATTCCTCAGTTTTCTGATTATCACACACTGGCTATTTTTTCCATATCTATCCTACATTTAATGTTTTAAAAAAATTTCTTTCTATTCTATTCTATTTTATTCATTGCATTATATTTTATCCAAACCTGACCCAACCTATTCTATTCTTTTCTATTCTATCCTATTCTTTTCATCTATTCTTTTCTATTCTATCCTATTCTTTTCATCTATTCTTTTCTATTCTATTCTATCCTAGGTACTATCCTGTGTCCCTGGAGTACTACTAAGTCTAGTAAGGGAGTGTATAACTGGCCTGTAACCCTGGCCGGTCAATCTTCTACCTTGGACTGTACCAAGGGGGAGGAGACAACTTCTAAGGTTAGTTTTATTAAAACAAATCTTTTCTGTCAATTTCCTTCCTTGTCTCTACTGCATTAAGTCCGCATGTCACTGAAAAGGTACCTGCAATAAGAAATCCTTAAATTTCATAATACACTCTCCAGGTAAACCCACTATTCATTCAGTCAGAGTACTGCAGAACACTGTAGTACTCTGACTAAAAGCTTAGTTTAGGGTGAATATTATTTTTATAAGGTACCATTGTAAATCGGTGAATATATTCTCTCTCTAAATTACATGAGCAGTCCCTATTAGTATTACAATTTTTAAAAAATACAATAAAGTCTTCCTTTCCTCAAATGACTCACAAACATGGATTTGCGGCAACACACTTACCCGGTTCCTGTCCGCACCCAATTTGTCTCCCGGCAAAATCTTTTTACTTTTACATGCTTATTATAGAGACATTGCAGCGTTAATTTAAGATTTTAATGACGTATTAGCATCTATCATAACCTTAATTTTTTGGAAATACGATTAAATATCTCTATCTATCTATCTATCTATCTAATTCTAGATTGTTCACTTCTGTGATGATGAAGGACATTGGACAGGACTGAACGAATCAGAGTGCCGACATACTAATGACGTCACAGACAAACTTTCAAGGGAAAAGATGGTTGTAATCACTTTTTCAAATTTGCAACCACAAAATTAAAGAACATCGGGAAGGTCTTAAAGCGATCACCTAGCTGTATTCCTGATCCTGAAAATGAGTACTTCGAAAATATGTTTTTTTGATTGAATTGAGAAAAATAAATTATTTTTAGGGTGAAAGGGTAATAAATAGCAAATAGGGTTAAAAAATAAAAATATATCTAATCTATCTTCTTGGAACAGATTTTCAACAATGAATCATTCAAGATTTGATCCGGTCACACTTGATCAAGCTGCAGGTATTCGTTTATCCATTTAGCCATCATTTTATCCATAGCCATCATTTTATCCATAGCCATCATTTTATCCATTTAGCCATCATTTTATCCATAGCCATCATTTTATCCATTTAGCCATCATTTCATCCATAGCCATCATTTTATCCATTTAGCCATCATTTCATCCATTTAGCCATAATTTCATCCATTTAGCCATAATTTCATCCATTTAGCCATCATTCACATTCATTTAGCCATCATTTCATCCATTTAGCCATCATTTCATCCATTTAGCCATCATTTCATCCTTTTAGCCATCATTTCACCCATTTAGCCATCATTTCATTCATTTAGCCATCATTTCATCCATTTAGCCATCATTTCATCCATTTAGCCATCATTTTATCCATTTAGCCATCATTTCATCCATTTAGCCATCATTTCATCCATTTAGCCATAATTTCATCCATTTAGCCATCATTTCATTCATTTAGCCATCATTTCATCCATTTAGCCATCATTTCATCCATTTAGCCATCATTTCATCCATTTAGCCATCATTTCATCCATTTAGCCATCATTTCATCCATTTAGCCATTATTTCATTCATTTAGCCATAATTTCATTCATTTAGTCATCATTTCAACTATTTAGCCATCATTTTATCCATTTAGCCATCATTTCATCCATTTAGCCATAATTTCCTCGATTAAGCCATCATTTCATCCATTTAGCCATCATTTCATCCATTTAGCCATCATTTCATCCATTTATCCATACATTTTTTCATTTAGCCATCATTTCATCCATTTAGCCACAATTTTATCCATTTAGCCATCATTTCATCCATTTAGCCATCATTTCATCCATTTAGCCACAATTTTATCCATTTAGCCATAATTTTCCCTTTTTCATCCTTTCATCCTTTTATTCATTCTCCTGTTCAACCTTTTATCCTTTCTATTATTCGTTTTTTCTTTCATTCATTTATTTATTCATTTAGCAATCTTCTCATTCATTTAGCCATTTTTCATTAATTTCTTCATCAATATGATATTTATTGAATCAGTAACAATATTATTATTTTAGAGAAATTACTGGAGTTTACATCCAACCCTGATATATTCTTGGACTCGCAGGATATTGTATACTTAACAAAGGTAGACAGACAGACAGACAGACAGACAGACACACAGGCAAATAAGCAGATAAACACATACATATCTATATATATATATCCATAGACACAGTGTTTCGTCCTATAAGGACTCATCAGTATGGCTCTATTATCAGATTTTGATTTTGCAGTTGATTGGGCTTGAACCATGAATCCTTAGATTATGAATCAAACACCCTAACCACTGCTCCATCAAATCCTAATGATTTGGTAATGAAATAGGGACCAGAGAGCTCAACCAACTCATTATAAGTTGAGGGCCTTGCATTCATTACCACAGAGAACTCAAGTTTAGCGGACTAAACGAGTATATATATCCATAGACACAGTGTTTCGTCCTATTAGGACTCATCAGTATGGCTCTAATCATCAGATTTCTTGTTCTAGAATTTTATCCATTTAGCCATCATTTCATCCATAGCCATCATTTTATCCTTATTATTATTATTATTATTATTATAATTATTATTTTGATTATTATTTTCACTAACGTTATTATTATTAATCTTATCATTCATGATGATTTTGATTATAACCGTGAAAGATGGGTTGGATAAA